TGTAATATACAGGGTGGGCTCTATATATGTAAATGTATACACTCAAATAAATCTTCAGAATACGATTTTCGGAAAAAGTGACCTGAACAAAAGTTGCTCGGGCCTAAAAGAACTATCTGCTGGTGACTTTGGATTTAACCTTGGCCCCAACCTTCAAGGTTATTTGGAGGTCAACTTTGCTTATTTAAATAGAAACATATATTTTTTTATTACGGAATTGTATTCTATGTAAAGAAACAAACAACTTTGGTTTAAAAAATTTTTTTATACGACCTCTTTTCTAAGATATTTACGGAAATATCTATAAAATTATTAGTTTCAATAATTTTTTACTCGAATTCTATCAACTTTACCGAAAAATAACAAGAGATAAAAATTGTTTATTTTCTTCTTATAGAGCTCTGAGAATTTTTTTAGAGTTTGTTAATTAACTTTTTAGTACAGTATTTTCTTGCATTTTCTTGAAGTATTAAAAAGTTTATAAAAAATTCTGAAAAAATTCTCAGAGCTCTATGAGAAGAAAATAGATCACTTCAGGTCACTTTTTCCGAAAATCCTGTCCTGAAGATTTATTCGGGTGTATCCATACATTTAGCCTATCCTGTATATATTTTCACGTCATAAAAGAAATTTCTTCCAAATGAGAAAATATATATTTTTTTAAACTGTTACTTTTTTTAATAAAAGCATTGATTCTATTTAAACGCAAGAATTTAGACTTAAATAGATATGTTATTATTATTAAGTAAATTTTTTAATCTTTTATAGTTCTTCTCTCGGTACACACGTTAAGGATATGTGAGATCCGCTTTAATCTTGCAGCGTTGTTGATTGAAGTGAAATTGTGGTCGATACCGATGCTATTTCGTGGAGTTTTACGTATGCTTTCGTCGTTGAAACTGATCGAGAGATGCTGAAGTGTTACATCGAAAATTAATCTCCCTGCGATTTATTTTTATTTGCGTAAGAAAGGTGAAAGGGGAACAGCGGTGGAATATGCGTAGTCGACGATCCTCTTTGCTTTCTCTCCTTGATCTGAAAGCTGAAACCTTATGTGCTACTAATTGCTACCATTGTTACGACTAAGAGACAGAGAAACAAAGGGTCAAAGGTAAAAATGCGACCTTATCAACAGCCACTTCGTGTTCTTGCTTACCATTATGCTCGCAAAGTTCACCGATCGATTCCAACCGCGCGCATTTTCATTGTTCAAAATCAACCAAACGCATCTTTCATTTAGAAGGAACGAAAAGTTGATGTAGATGTATCGTAATTATTATTTTATATACTTGTGTGCATCTTGAAGTATTATCGCAGCGTTGATTGTCGACGAATCGCGAGCATCTTCTCTCACGTTAGAAGTTCCACATCGAATGAATGCACAGAAAGAAAATTAGTATCTATTTAAATCTAATATTTAACGATTAGTTAAATTAACAATCATTTTGTATATAAACAACAATATGTAATTCTGCACGGAAAAAACAATTCTGTTGGTGCAACCGAATTTTCGGTTACTCAAGAATCAGACGAAAACGCGGCTGTAAGAACAAAAAATTCCTTTATGAGGCTTCTGTATAGTGTTCTCAATTGTTCTCAGTTGTCTCAAACGAGTTCTAATGTCGTTGAATGTTCAGACGAATATTTTCGGTTGCGACAACAGAAATATTAATTTTCATAACAGAGATATCGCTTTTGATCACCTAATTTTCAGTTGGTTCCTATTTGGTTGCATCAACTGGGATTTTTTTGCGTGTGTTTAAAAGAATATTAAAATCTTGAATTTCATAAATTTCAACAAAATTTATTTAACTATATATAGTCTCATAAGAGATTAGTTTCATAGAATAATTTCACAAGAACCATAATATGATTATTTTGAAGATAATGATATCTTCTGACATTTTGAAACCATATTTTTAATCCAATATCTTGTGCTTCCCATTCGTGAAAATTATTTTCAAATAATAAGAATATATTTTTCTTTGTTGAATTACGTATAAAACGTATTGATACAAGTAACTTATTTTGATTTAACGCTGTGTAATCTCACTTTAAGGTTTACGTATCTAAAGGTTTAAATATCTAAAGATATTTTTAAAACAAGAACCACAAGTAGCATATACACGTTTTAAAAATGTTTTATAAACGTTAGAATTAAACCTTTCATAACCGTTTCCAAAACGTTTCATAACGTTTCTTTAACGTTTTTCATGAGTAAAAATGTCCACTCAAAAAACGTTAGGTGAAACGTTATTTTTGCGAAAAAAAATCGTTGAAAAAATGTTTTATAAACGTTTTAAAACGTTTATAAAACATTTTAAAACGTTTTATAAACAATTCATAAATAAGATTTCAGAGAGGTTCTTGTTAAAACGTTTCTTATTGGTGCTTTACGGTTCTGAAACTATAGATACTTTTAAGAAACGTTTCTGATACGTGTATGTGCTACCTGGAACGTTCTTTTTTCTGTAATAATTAAAGATAAACGTGTTTTAACCGACGTTAGATTTTTCCTCAAACTTGACTGACCATCTTCACACGGATTCATTTGATGTATTTCAGGCTCCGCCGTCTCATAGAATTCGTCGGATTCAACATCCGGAAAGATGGGTTGGGTCCTCCCCGGTCTCGGAGTGGCTTTCATCGTCATCGCTGCCGGCGCCACTATCGCCATTTGCAGAAGGTGATCATGATATTATTTCGCTATTATAGACGCTTTTTCCTCATTATTATTATTACCATTTCATTGGTTCCTTCGATGATATCTTTCTCAATCGATGGGATAAGAATACAATGATACACTTCTCGGAGGCTGATGAACGTTCTAATGCGTGCAACAGGTGAAAGCATCACTCAGCGAGCAATTATTACACCAGTAATTTGCTGCCTGTTCTTGCGCGAGCCCAAGTTTAATCCATTCTTCCCCAGAAAGAATAAATCTGGACTTATCTCGCTCCAGCGCGATATTACGACGGTCACGGGTGAAATTGCGATTCCAAGTAATGCCGACCATTGTTGGGCCAGTATGTAGCACAGTAAATCAATTAATCTGGAAGAACGAGATGATGTAACATAAACTAAATATAACACAGAGGGAGAATAACGTGGAAGAATTATTAAAAAGAAAATATATATAATATGTCACGTGTTAAAAGCACATTCAATCTGATCGTCGAGTCGACGTCAATGGGAGATCGATAAATGAAAAATAATTTATTTCGATAGAAAAGCGCTGCTCGCATTCGTGTATCATTTTATTTCAGGTTTTAATTAATCCAATTAGCACGATAAATTGAGCGATTGTCTCAGCCGTTACAGATTGAACGATTGGTCGAATAAAGCCACGCTTACTTTCGTCGGCTTTGTCCTGCAGCGGCCCTAGTCATTTCATCTGGTCCTTTGTTCCATTGTTGTAGCCGTTATTCCCGCATTGCGTTTCTCCCGAGCGAGTCCCTTGCGCCGTGACTTGCGGTACAGATATAATTAGTGCTTAGCTCCCGTTATCTCGTCAATCCCGCAGATATTGCAGCGGATGGCAGTTTGGCACCAGGAATGTCTGGAGCGTCTGCGAGGAATGGAGACAGAGGCTTTCATGGCTTTGGGCACCGCGGGAAGAAAAGGTGACTCGTGCATCTTCGCGGGCGCGACTTTAACATTTTTTATTCGAATCTTATATGAAGATTTCATAGTAGCCAAGAGCCTTAGGTTCACACAGTCACGCATCAGTACTATTACGTTTATATTGTTGCTCAAAGGTGTAAAAAATTACGATTGCTAATGCATATTAGTTATAATTGTTAATAACATTGTGTCAAAGTGCGACTTTGAGTAAGAGTGTTCAACATTCGATTGGAAACTTTGCGATTCGCTTCTGTAGACTCTGTAGTGCCTACTTTATCCCCCGATTTGTTTCTACGACATTATCATACGACATCATTTGAAGGTGGGATTGGTAAAGGCTCAGCATCCAACCGCCCAGACGATACCAGGCCTATATCGTCAGGCTGGGAATACCTCTCAACATCTCTTGCATAGCGACAGCGACCTCCGGTTAGACGCGCAAGGCGCTTTCACCAGGTATGCGACGAAGCGAATAATTAATAATCCGCACTATATTATAATATTCATATAATGGTCGAAGAGAAGACTACGGGAAAGAACTCGGTGAAAATAAAGCATGAGTAGACGAAATTTCTTTTGAAAAAGACGACGTTTAAACAAGTTCTCGGAGTTCTTCAAAGTTCTGCCTCTCAACTAAAATTAATTCGAAATGTTTTTCCTCCGAGTTAAGTTGATACCAAGTGTTACAATGAAGTTTATTCGCGCGTCGAGAAAACGCTACAATTCGCACCACTATACTATACGGAGAAACATAATTTTGCTCTTTTAACAAAATTGTCGTTGCTACTGCATATTTGTAGTGATATCAAAAAAATTTAGTTGACTTAACTAATTTTATAAATTATTCGTTATCAGAGCAGAAGTCGTTGCCAGGATAGAAAAAATTTCTTGAGTGTATTTGTCCTAAGAATCACGTTAATTTGCTATTGATGCAAAATAATGTATCCTTAGCAAATTTATTTGCTATCAAAGCAAAACTGCAACTGTTTATATAAATCCATCATGGTTCTTATAGTAAAATAACTTGTAGACTCAGCAAATTATATCCAGCAAATAGTGATTAGCAAATCTTTTTGTTGTCCATATAATAATGAAAAGATTTTACTAGACCAGCAGAAAATTTGCTAGGCCAACAAATTGTTTTTCTCCGTGTAGAAACTGTCAAGCGCTTTTGCGCAAAAATATCCGTGGGTACAATATACAGGATAAATCACTTAATGCTACACGGAAAAAAAATATTTGCTAATATATGGACAACTAAACATATTATAATAATATATATTAGCTAATAATATATATATTAGCAAATTTTTTAGCTATCCCAACTAAATAACTTTTACTATGAAAGCAAGAAAATTTGCTCCTACAAATTTGCAGTTAATATTTTTAGTTGTCCATATATTAGCAAATCTTTTTTTCCGTGTAGATTCTAAAATATTTTTTATATTTTAGAGAAAAATGTACAAGGAATAGATTGTAGGTTAAAATATTTCGCTTCTCACAATATTTACCCCCGCCAACCACACATTTATTTCTCACATACATTTTCCTCTAAAAACAACAGAGATATGTTAGAATCTAACGTCGGGTGACTCACCCTGGTCTGTTGGATTGATCGTGTACTCGACGAAATTGTTAAGTTAGATTATTCCACTTCAGTTTATGTTGAAAAGTTTCTGCAAAGATGTAAGACGTAATACATTACAAGGACGATTTTTCTTGGAAAATCCACGTCTCAAAGTCGCGTCGATCAAGGATGAGAAAACTTAGACCGCGTCAGTTCATCCCCGTAGAGACTCTCCCTCTCTCTCTCTCTCTTTCTCTTTAAAAGACCTGGCATGTCTTAAACTAACTCCATTTAACCGAGTTTATACTCACCTCATTTTTCCGCTTCGATCGTGTGCACACATATTTTATTTTACATACATAGAATATATATATTGTACCATACTATTATACAGATTCGAGGCTGTCGACAGGGACTTACATCCGCCCCTCGGCGGCAGCACGATACCACCTCAACCGCTGCGACCCGCTCCTCAACCACGGCCGACTGCGCGCCCAAGACCGTCTCCTCTGCACACGCCGAGCACCGCAGACTATCTTAGAATGCAAGAGGCTGGTCCAGGCCCGCTGACACCGCCGCCGTCGTTGCAGAGAGGACCGATGCGGTCGAGACCCCCCGGTCCGTCCGTGTTCCTCTTCCAAAACGAGCCGCCGAAGAATCTCGGCCCGTTCCAATCGTCGATCGACCGCTCCGCCTTCGTGTTCGGTGATGACACCGCCAAGACGATCACGGAGAGCATTCAGATGACGCCTTACGCCGGTCAGAACCACATAGAATCCAGATCCGTCAGGTACGTCTCGAGAGTAAGCAACGGAAAAGGAGTCTTCAAGTTGGATTAGAGCGACCATAGCTGCCGATAAATAAAATATTTCTTTCCTTCAACATGTTACTTTAGGCTTAGCTAATTCTCGGTCGGACTTGAGGGAGTCTGGGGCATAATGGTCTAGCAGTCATAAGTAGCAAATTTAATTTGCATAGACATTTAACTAAAATGATCAGAGTTGGGAAGTAACTCGTTACTTGTAATGAAGTTGCAGTTACAGTTACATTTTTTCGGTAACTGTAACTTAACTTAGTTACTTATTTTTAGTAACTTGTAACAGTTTTGTAACTTTTTTAAGTTACTTGGAAAATGTAAAAATAAAATTAAAATTATATGGTAATCGTATATTAATTTAATAAATTTATCAACGTATTTATGGAGCATGTGATTAAATTCTTTTATCTCTACAAGACTATTATTAAATTTTTATTATTTTAAGTACAGATTTGAAATTTGTTAAGTGGATAGACTAATTAATGTGATAGATATTAATTATAAAATTCAATTCTTATTTATACTTGATTTATATATTTAATTTTTATTAAATTCTTTATTTTAGTAAAGCTTAAAATGTAAGATTTTTGTATTTACATAAATAATTTACAATCATTTCAAGAAAGTAACTTAAAAGTAACAACTCGTTACTTTTTGAGTAACTGTAACGAGTTACTTTTCATAGCCAGTACCTTATAACTATAACTAGTTACATTTTCAGCAAGGGGAACTGTAACTGTAACTAGTTACTTTTAAAAAGTAACTTTCCCAACCCTGAAAATGACAAAAAAAGTATTGTTTGATAACGTAAATACGTATATACGGTAACGGTATATACGATAACGTATATACGGTAATAAAAAACAGAATGTTCTCATTGTTTGCCTCATGTAGATATATCAAACAAATTGCGACAAATACATAAAACAATACTTAGCATCTTTTAGCGAGGAACATTATGGCGACTGAGTCGGTAACACGCAGTAAGAGATATCTAATAATAATAATTGCAAAACATTTCATTACATGGCAACATCTGTTAAAAAAGTTACCAACGATACTCCATTATGTCCCACGACTCTATTGTGGTTCCCTTATTATTTTCTACAGCCTGCCAGGGAAGCAAATACATTCGTTGAGAAGTATTCTCTTAAAAGCCGTTTGACTTGATTTCTTAACGACTCACTCAATTTTCCAGACAATTCGAGCCCTCCCAGGATCCGGCGCGGTTTAGGTACAGTATGAACCCTCCTATTGACAATCACCATGACAACTTGGCCAACGAGGATATCGATAGGAATTACAGTAGCTACGATATCGTCCAGAGGAATCATATTGCGCGACCATATGCGAGGAACGAGCCCATAGGTTTGCCAAGTGGCTTCAACGCCGTTAATCCGTCGAATACAACGAGCCAGGTCATCATGGAGTCTATATATGGGCCTCAGACTGTCTCGCAGATGCTTCAGAACAGCGAAGAGCTGAACGGCGACCTAAACCGTAAAAACAGCGATATGCAGAACATCGAGATGACTCCATTCAAGAGTAGCGGCCATCAAGAGAGCATCGATCCCTACATGTTTCACGGCATGTCGAAGTCGCAAGATCTCGAGAGAGTCTCGCAGTATATACAGAGTCTACCTGACCTTCTCGCCTACGAGTCCGTGAACGAGCTCGAGACGCATCAGAATCGAGAGCCGATATTGTTCACGAACACCATCCAAGAATCGATCGACCACACAAAAGTCGCGAGCGAGTCGGCCTCGAGTCCAGTGCCGCCGCCGCCTGCACCACCGGATCCATCTCAAAAAGTCGCGAAGAAAAGCAGCCCGACCACCGGCGAGAGGATTTTCAGCGCCTTGAGATCGGTCACTTCGCAGAGTTACATAGACGCCTCAGAATTTTATAAGTAAGTTCGTTATTGAAGATCATGGAGGAAATTTTTTTATTTCATTTCATTTTACTCTTCTTTATATAGTTTTTTTAATGTTTCGACATACGAATTCGGTAAATATGCAGTATCACGCCCTCATCTTGGATTTTTTTTGAACTTTGTAAATTTGTATATTTTTATGCGTAGAATTGATTTCTGAAGACAAAAATTGTCGCTCACTTTTCGTTTTCTTGTTGTTTTATTTTTATGTTTTATAATGTCGGTAAGTAGGAAAGGCAAAGAATAGTTTATACATGCTTTTTTCTGCTTTAATCAAAAGCATAAACTGTTATAAAGCAGATAATTGTTCATACATGCTTTTCCTCTGCTTTAATAAAAAGCATAAACTCTGTTATAAAACAGAGAATAGTTCATGTATGACGAGAACGTCGTAATTGTTTGTATAGTTAGATCTAAATTTTAATCCGTATAAAAAGGTAATTAAGTTTTATAAGATAGTGTATATGATTAAAGCAGAGAAAAGCATACATAAACTATTCTCTGCTTTATAACAGAGTTTATGCTTTGGTTAAAGCAGAGAAAAGCATGTATAAACTATCCTCTGCTTTTCCTACTTATCATAAAACATAAAAATAAAAAAAAACAAGAAAACAAAAAGTGAGCGACAATTTTCGTTTTCAGAAATCAATTCTATACGTAAAAATATACAAATTTACAAAGTTTGAAAAAAATCCAAGGTGTTATACTGCATATTTAACGCGAATTCTTGCTGATATATGAATTTTGCTTCCGTACATGTTTTTGTTCGTTAGTTTATTACAAAATATATTTCTTTATACTTACAGTTCGGTGCTCTCCTCGGCACAACAAGTGCAACGGTTTACGTTCCCGTCGACGTCACCGTCGTTTGTAAACGATAATACCGGAAATCATCTACAAGATGCCGAATATCTGCAAGATATGCGAGATATTTATGCAGAAACTGATACAGATGCTGTTGGCCTGGACGTCTCGAGGCGAAGTTCTGATCTTTATAGTCCTGAACTAAACCTGGAAGCTCACAGGACAGCGCAAGAAGTACTAATTTACATTATTTACTTTATGTTTTAATATTTTTTATAATGGCATAGTTAAGAGAGATTTATTGAAGATGAATCAAGTTTAATATCATTGTTGACTATAATTGTGCAGTAGACAGATAAAAAAATCAAAGAAATAATTTAATATAAAATTTTTTATATCATAGTTTTAATTATTTTAAAATTATTAATTTCAAATTATTCTTTTTTATTTAAATTTTCAATTTTCTTTTCTTCTCTTATATTTTTATCTTCTACAGGTATATAATAGTCTACAAGATCCGCCGTCGTCTCCTTTATTAGTAAAAGAGAATAATCATGAGTCTTATACTTACTTATCAGATCCGAGTTTCACTCGCACGTCGGAGGTACGTACAGTTTTCTTCTAAAAAGTTTCTATATCTTATCGCAATTTGTTTCGCGAAGAGATCTTTATTGTAATTCTAAGGAATACACTGATAAAATGTAACCTTTGTCGCAGTTAATTAATTAATTAATTAATCATACTCTAGGACATTTTTAACAGCCTTGAACAAAGGCGTAAAAGTATAGAAAGACTGAACGGTATTCACGAATACGTGGAACTTGACGCCACCGATCCATCAAGGTAAGAACTAAACTATGCAGTCAAATATTATTAAACGTTAGTTTTGTCTATATGTACAATATGTACAATAATACTATTTTTAAGAAAGTATCGATGCATGTCAATCGTTCAACACGCATTATTCATCTATCATTATAAATCGAAACACATACTTTGTTCACATCTATTTTCTTCAGAAGACGAAACAGTCAGGAGCTCTACGCCGCCTTGGAGGAAGTGCAACTGAAGAGACGGCTTTCACAGGTAACGACTTGTTCTTTTTTTCTAATAAGAAAAATATTGATCAATATATGATCAAATAATCTGAAAAAAATGTATATATCGATTTTCAGGGTTTAGAGGAGTCGTATCTGAGTTACGTGATAAACGATCACAATAACAGATCGGGAAATCGTCGAGGATCGCTGGTTCCTGAGCCAGAGCCACCACCTGACGAGTCCACGTTGAAGAGAGCAATCAGTTGCGAGAGCGTATGTTCCGACACTAGCGTGAATCTCAACGACTTGGAGGAGGCACCCATTGTAGGGCACATTTGCGTCGGCCTTGAACATGAGAGATGGGGTGGTCGTGGAAGCGACAGCGAAGGCGACTTGGCCGTGAGTGTCCTGGAAGCCAGGGATCTGGTTGCTGCTGATGGTTCTCCTGCTCAAGACACTTTCGTTAGGTACGTGTCCTCTACTTGCTAGCATCAGTATGCCGTTGTGTGTAAAAAGATGGAACGTAAAAGATGGAAAATTCTATCTATGCACGGAGAAAAATAATTTGCTGACCCAGCAAATTTTCTGCTAGTTTAACAAAATCTTTTCGTTATTATATGGACAGCAAAAAGATTTGCTGAGAGTACTAATCACTATTTGCCGGATATAATTTGCTGAATCTACAAGTTATTTTGCTGTAAGAATCATGATGGATTTATATAATCAGTTGCAGTTTTGTTCCGATAACAAATAAATTTGCTAAGAATATATTATTTTGCATCGATAGTAAATTAACGTGATTCTTAGGACAAATACACTCAACAAATTTTTTTTATTCTGGCAACGAAACTACTTCTGCTCTGATAACGAATAATTTGTAAAATTAGTTACGTCAACTAAATTTTGTTGCTGTCATTACGAATATGCAGGAGCAACGACGACTTTGCTAAAAGAGCAAATTTATTTTTCTTCGTGTACTAATTAACTTTATATACACATAAAAAAATTAGACTACAACTTTTATACTCAGATTTAACATATTGTGCACAAATTTTATCAATACATTAATTGATAACCTACTTTTATAAATAAAAATATTGAAAGATTGTTTTTTTTTTCGTAGGGTGTGTCTGTTACCCGATAGACAGACGCACGTGCAAACAAGAATTTATAGAGGATGTCCATCGCCTAGTTATCAGGAGAAATTCCTATTCCCTCTCGATGGTGGCCCAGCAGGCAGAACACTCTTTGTCGAGGTGCTTTCCTATTGAATCATTCGTTTCATATAAATCTATTGCAGCAAAGGATTTAGAGATAAATTCTAATATTAATTCTAATATTAACGTATTCTGTCCCGTCAAAATTCACGTGATTATCCCTTTCATCGCCCAGGTATTTTCTGACGAGTCCAACATCGGCGGCGGTGCGTCCTTAATCGGCGAAGCCAGCTTGAAGCTCGGGCCCGCGGCGAGACCGCCAGCAACGACTTGGCTGGCACTCAGTGGACCTGCCTCACCCACTCCGCATCTAGGAGAGCTAATGTTCTCTCTGAGTTATTTGCCAACGGCGGAGAGACTCACTCTCGTAGTAGTCAAAGCCCGCAATTTGCGCGGCGCGAATTCTAGTCCGGGTGATTTCTTCGTCAAGGTAACGTATAGACATTCCTTTTCATCTTTTGAAAATCAATCATTCAGAAATCATTTAGAAATCATTGCAATTAAATAAGAGAAAAAAAAAGATATTAACGTCTTTTCTTGCTAAGGTATACCTACTTCAACAAGGGAAGAAGATGCACAAAAAGAAGACTTCTGTGAAAAAAGGCGAGAAAAGTCCAATCTTCAATGAGGCGATAATATTCAGCGTACCGGCGCACGCTTTACAGGTTTTGATAACTTTTTACTCCTAATGGCAACATGGAAAAAAAAGATCTGCTGTATATGAACAACTAAACATAATTTTCTGTATTAGTCACTTTTTCTTTGCTGCAGGAGCAATTGCTATGATAACAAGAAAATCTGCTCCTGCAACAAAAAAAGTAGCTAAAGCAATAAATTATATTTAGATGTCCATCTGTAGCAAATTTTCTGTAACAACGTTAGCCATTTTTCTTGCTGTAGAAGCAAATTTTCTTGTTATCATAGCAAGAAAATAGATTCCTGCAGCAAAGAAAAAGCTAACACAGCGAATTATATATAACTGTCCATATGTAGCAAATTAGTTTGCTGCTGCAGCAAATTATTTTTTTCCGTGAAGAACTATAACGGAAATATGTGTCAACTCGAAAAGTCGGTTTGTCCATATGAGCTGTTCCCGTAAACGAAGTGTAGTAAAGTTAACAGTTAAACTAATTTAACTTTCAAATCGATTGAATTGCATTTGCTTGTAATTGCTTGACAGTTGCACATCCTTTTGTCATTTTATTCGAAAACATTATGTTTTTTCACTTTAAGGCTCCTGGGGAGTCGCATCATCCATCTCTTTTTAATGACGTCAGAAGCGAGAAAACGCATGCTAAAAATTCCTGCAAAATACGTCGAGATAAACAGATATATCCACAAAACGACATTTGCGATCGATTAAGTACATCTCTAAAATACTCCGTACACTTTCCTTTTGTTCTAACAATCAACAGATAATTATAAAATAAATGTGACGTGCAATCGTCTTTTCTAACCTAATTTCCTCATTATCTTGTCATATTAATTTTCCGATTATCTATTGATTTTTAGAACAAAAGGAAAGTGTACGGAGTATTTTAGAGATGTACTTAATCGATCGCAAATGTCGTTTTGTGGATATATCTGTTTATCTCGACGTATTTTGCAGGAATTTTTAGCATGCGTTTTCTCGCTTCTGACGTCATTAAAAAGAGATGGATGATGCGACTCCCCAGGAGCCTTAATTATTAAACGTACGTTCTCTCTCTTTCTCCCTTTTCCTCTCGTCAAAATTTCACACAAATCGTTGTAACGGAACACACTCCTTTCAGACTATACAGCTGAGATTGACAGTGGCGGAATTGAACGGCGATCAAGGAGGTACGAATGTGAAGGCGTACTCTGTCGGACACATTATCGTAGGATCTACCTCGACGGGAAGAGCCTTAGCTCACTGGAGACAAATGTTAGCGGCCTTGCGGCGTCCGGTTGCCATGTGGCATCCTCTCAGGAAGTAGAAGCGGAACCCGCTCTCCGGCATGAGCCAGAGAAAAACGATCAGTCGAGCGAGAGATTTGCTCGAACGGTTCGACTGCGCATTCGAGAGCAGTCTCGAAGTACCACTTTTGAACCGATCATATGGAATTTTGTGTCACACGCCCGCGGCGTGTTCTTCGGTGTATCTGTCGTCGGGAAGGATACGCGTATGTTATATAATCCACTTAAAGTAAGATACAGTCCCTCGCGGAGATGCGCGTCGTAAACATTTATCTATTCAATCTAATATTAACGATCGTTCGGACCACCATGTGGCGATACGCGCTGTTCGTACGTGACGGAGGCGTCAAAGTAGCGACTCGAGATCGTACCGCGTACCGCACAGCTAAATCTCACAGTATCGAATATTAGTAATCCCGATCATTCGATTCATCGATGCCAGTAGCGTCGATCTCATCATTCAAGCACACGAATAGGCTCTAAAAAATTATCCGCGCCGTCGTTTCAATCGTGAGTTTGGTGAAAGGGCAAGTCTCGAGTGAATTTTGCATTCGGGTCTTTGCTCAAGACTCTAACGTATTCACGCCATTGTCCAGCGACAATGAAATCTTCCTCGTAAACAGATAGGTAGATTTATCTATCTGGAAATACTTAACGCAATCGACTGAAATGCAAAAGTTTACAGCAATGTGTTCCGTACAATCATGTTACATATCTCTCCCTGAACAATTGAGTATTTGAAGCAATTAATTTTGTCTTGGGTCTTTTTTCAGAGATATTCTTTTTTAGCTGTAACTTTTTCCCTTGAGAATCGGATGTACTCTCTTCGATCTTTGATTGTGCGTTTCATCGTTATTTAAGTATAGAGTAAATAGAGATGTAGAAACTTCGTGTGCGTTTATCAGGCCCAAGACAATGCAGAAGGGAGAGGAAGGGAGGAAGAGTGATAATGAAAGCGACAGTGGAAGTGAAAGTAAGAGCGGGTGCGAGAATATAAGACGTACTTGTAAAGTTTCCGCGAAAGTTCGTGATTCGTCATATGAATGTTAAAGATTAATGCATCTTCCATCGACATCATTACGACCTCGTCGCACTCGCGTCACCGTTCGTTGGTAATTATTGACATAACGAAGTTTTGACAAGTAAAAAGCACAACTCGACGAGAGCTTGCGAAAGTGAGAGGGGAACTTCGCAAAACTGTGTAATTTCTAACCCTATCGAAGTTCTGCGAAATGTGTAACGTTGTTGTATTCACTGTGGATATGTTGAGGCTTATACAGAGTTTATCACTGACGTTATCGCACGATCATACTGACCAGTTTTCCTCTGCACGAGCAGAAATGCGTACGCGATGATTCGTGTTCGGACTTCGAGCTAATTTCTTCAATCTTCCCCATTTAAATTGACGTCGTACTTTGCGATGTACTTGTTACGATTATATAGGGTGGGCCAAAATTGTGGAAACAGTCCAATATCTCGAAAGAAAAGCATATTTTAGGAAAATGTTTCAGACAAAAATTAAAGGGTTTCAGAAGATCTATTTAATGGCCAGTTTTGACTTTGAGTGGC